CCACCCCCCCATGCACCCGAGGTTACCTGGGACTCTTGTCTATTTCCAATCTCCAGGAGGATAAGTACATGATTTTCTTCAGGTTCACCTTCTTATTTAGCTTCTCTAGAATCATGAATAATAGGCTCAAAGACCTTTAATTATGGCTAGAATCCACTTATGAGTGAATACATACCATATTCCTCTTTTTGGGTCTGGCTTACCTCACTCAGTAAAGCGTTTTCTATGTCCATCCATTTGCATGCAAAATTCAAGATGTCATTGTTTTTTACTGCTAAGTAAAACTCTAGTGTATATATGTTCCACACCTTCTGGCTATTACAAACAGTGCTGCTATGAACATAGTTGAACAAATGCTTTTGTGGTATGATAGGGCATCTCTTGGGTATATTCCCAAGAGTGGAATTGCTGGGTCTTGAGGGAGGTTGACTCCCAGTTTCCTGAGAAACCGCCACACTGATTTCCACAGTGGCTGCACAAGTTTGCATTCCCACCAAAAATGGATGAGAGTTCCCCTCTCTCCACATCCTCTCCAGCATAGGCTATTGTTGGTGTTTTTGAATTTAGCTAATCTGACCGGTGTAAAATGGTATCTCATAGTTGTTTTGATTTGCATTTCTCTGATCGCTAAGGATGTTGAGCATGACCTTAAGTGTCTTTTGGCCATTCGGAGTTCTTCTGTTGAGAATTCTCTGTTCAGATCAGCACCCCATTTTTTAATTGGGTTAATTAGAGTTTTAGTGTCTAGTTTCTTGAGTTCTTTGTATATTTTGGAGATCAGGCCTTTATCTGATGAGGGGTTGGTGAAGATCTTCTCCCAGTCAGAAGTTAGCCTTTTTGTCTTACTGACGGTGTCCTTTGCTTTACAGAAGCTTCTCAGTTTCAGGAGGTCCCATTTATTCATTGATTCTCTTATTGTTTGTGCTACTGGGGTTCTACCTAGGAAGTGGTCTCCTGTGCCTATGTCTTGTAGACTACTTCCAACTTTCTCTTCTATCTGGTTCAAAGTGGACAGATTAATGTTGAGGTCTTTAATCCATTTGGACTTGATTTTTGTGCATGGTGATAGATATGGATCTACTTTCATTCTTCTACAGGTTGATATCCAGTTATGCCAGCACCATTTGTTAAAGATGCTTTCTTTCTTCCATTGCATACCTTTAGCCCCCTTGTCGAAAATCAAGTGTTCATAGGTTTGTGGGTTAATATCTGGGTCTTCTATTCGATTCCATAGGTCGACTTCTCTGTCCTTCTGCCAACCAAGCTGTTTTCAATACTGTAGCTCTGTAATAGAGTTTGATGTCAGGGATGGTTATACCTCCAGACGTTCCGTTATTATATAAGATTGTTTCGGCTATCCTGGGTTTTTTGTTTTTCCATATAAAATTAATTATTATTCTCTCAAGGTCTGTGAAGAAGTTTGATGGGATTTTGATGGGGATTGCATTGAATCTATAGATTGCTCTTGGTAGAATTGCCATTTTTACTATGTTGATCCTCCCAATCCAAGAGCAGGATATTCTTCTGATCCTAGGTAATACAAACCTAAGTCACATGTAAGTTTTCAGAATCTGCATGTGCAATCTTACAGAAATTGATGACATCAGGTATGGTGGTAATAGTGTTTCCTTGAGAGGAGGGAATGTAGATGCATGCACTCACATACTTTTTAGAGCCTTTGTGGACTAGATTCTTATAACAAGCTATTCTACTACTTCTTGGGCTTATGAAGGGCCTGTGGGCAAGTAAGATGAACCAACTGACTGCCTTAGCAGATAATATCACTCAGGTTAGTCTGTCAACTATGAGTCTAACAACTCAATTGCTAGTCCTCCGTTTACCTAGGGACATGTGTAGAAGACTTTTGTCTATCTGCTTCCCAGGGCTTCTGTCAGTAGAGTTTGCTAGGTGCACTACCAACCTATTTAAGAAATTACATGCAAGTGAATAGGTTTATGAACAGTCTTTTAGTAATTTCTTAAATGATATCAATAAAACACTTATAAGCTGTACAAGTACTTCATATTGGTTTCTTTGTTGAAAAGAACTTTCTGACTAACCTCTCACTAACCAATGTTCTTGCTACTATTCAAATATCTTAGAAACAGAACAGTTATGCAAACAGGTCCTTGACTTGCGAATTTGCTTCATTACAAAACATTTGTCATTAAACATTGACATGCAAATATAAATAATTAATATTTGCTTTTGCTATCTCCATTAGATCAGGAGTTCAGTGTGGTCATTTAGTGCATTTGCCTTGTTCAACTCTGGTTATATTTTAACTTGAGGCTTTTTCTTCTTTGATATAAGGATAAGCAATGATACAGGTGACACACTCTGAACAGAAGACTTTGATGTCTCAGGATGATTATGAAGTGGATGTCTGTTCTGCTGCTCCTGCAGATGAGTTGCTACTTCAGATCTGGGAGCTGTGGGAAGGTGTTGGTATGGCCAATGGAATACAGTCACTGGATGAATCTAAAGACAATACTGGATGAACTTGTACAGAGGGGTCATGAAGTGACAGTTCTGAGACCTTCAGCTTCAATCTTTCTAGATCCCCAAAAATCACCTGATCTGAAGTTTGAGAGTTTTCCTACGTCTATCAGTAAAGATGATTTTGACAAGGTTTTCACAATGCTTGTTGATGTATGGACTTATGAGATACCAAGAGATTTGTGTTTATCCTTCTCTCCTTTGCTACAAAATGTGATTAATGAATACTCTGACAGCTATCTAAGGCTTTGCAAAGACACAGTTTCAAACAAACAACTTATGACAAAACTACAGAGATCCAAGTTTGATGTCCTTTTCTCAGATGCCATTGCTCCCTGTGGGGAGTTGATAGCTGAACTTCTCCAGATCCCTTTTCTGTACAGTCTTCGCTTCTCTCCTGGCTATACAATGGAAAAGTACAGTGGGAAATTTCTAGTCCCTCCCTCCTATGTACCTATAATTTTGTCAGGATTAGGAGGTCAAATGACATTCATGGAGAGGGTAAAAAATATGATGTGTATGTTGTATTTTGACTTTTGGTTCGAGACATTTAATGAGAAGAAATGGAGTCAGTTTTACAGTGAAACTTTGGGTGAGTTATGTTTCTTCTCAGTAGTTCACAGACCTAAATTTCACAAGCATTTAAATCTACAGTCATGTCCATGAAGTGCAAAGTAAGCTTGCCTTTTATAGGTGATCAAATGTAATATGATGTTAGCAACCAAATGCACTGTTAAAGCTGATATTGTTGATCAAAGAGAAGCAGGTGTCCGACCTTATACAGGACATTATGCTGAGATCCAGAGCCGCAAAGAGAAGCAAGTAGACTTTCCTAAGTGGTTCTTACTTGTTTTGCTGTAATTTTTAATCTATTCTAATATGTCACTAGCTATTTAACCAACTCATAATTAATGTATAATAAGGAATGAAATATTTTACAGTTTCAATATGTATATGACATTGAAGAAATTATTTTCTCTTACATAGGCAGCTATCTTTATTTAAAACATAACTGTGGGTTCTGAAAATATATCCAAAAGGTTAAGAGTTTTTTCTGTTTATTTTGGGTACCCACCCAGGTCCAATGTCTCAAAATTGCCTGTATGTTCTGCTTCAGTGAAATTGCTGCCCTTTTATGGTATTTGCCAATTTCTGAATACACTTAGCATATGCTCATGCAGACACACATATACATAAATAAATGATGTAAATTATAAAATATATTTGTTGTATTTCCTAAAGAATTTCTTTACTCTTGAAAGATACTATGTTAGTTCAAGACTGAAAAGTGGAACTGGAGTTTCAACCAATACCATACTTTTTTATTGTGTACTTTCCTAATATTCATTGTTTAAACACTACAGAAGCATGGATACATAGGTACTCGGTCTGTATTTTTTGAAGTCCTGGGTTTTTTTTTTCCTCTTAAAAAATATTTCATATGGAAAACTAGCCAAAGTTTCTATTCTCATAATTTCTGAAGATGTTGTGATTGTTTTTGTAAGATAAGTACTATTAAATTTCTTAATATGATACAAAGGTAGAAGTACTAACTAAGAAATTCTACAATTCATAAACTTTACAGCTCCTTTAACAAAACAAGGAAGAAGGAATGGCTACAAACTACAAGGACCCTGGGGAAATCTGGCCATGGACTTTTGGACCTGGAATGTGGTTTATATTTGCACTGTTCCTTTTAAAGATGGAGAGAGGAGTAAAATGTGTGCTCTTTAGATAGTGGCTTAGGGGGTATTACAATAACTATTTCAAGTTAATGTAGAAACATTAGTTAATTTTTACAGTTTGCTTTTAAAAAAAACCCAAACTGACATGTATATATATTATGTGAGCAACAAATCATTACACTGCAAATTATGTTGCATATCAATAAATACCGTTTTTTAAATGCACATGTTCCATATCAAGCATGTATTATTCCATCATTTAAGGAAATATATTTTATATTCAAATGACAATCATTCAACTTTTCTCCTTCTCACTTGCTCATTTCTCCTTCTAGGAAGGCCCACTACCTTAACTGAGACAATAGGCAAAGCAGAAATGTGGCTCATTAGATCCTACTGGGATTTGGAGTTTCCTCGCCCAACCTTACCAAATGTTGACTATGTAGGAGGTCTCCACTGCAAACCTGCAAAACCCTTGCCGAAGGTAAGTACATTCTTTAGATCACTTTCTTATTTGGTTTCCTTTCTGGTGAACGTGATTCTACAGCTTTCATTAGATTTTTCTCCCAGGGATAGAGATTTATAGGAAGTTGACTTAAGCATCCTGCTAAGGAGGAGGTGAATAAACTCAGAAAAGAATGTGATAGACCTGGGAAATATTCCTATCAGTGAATTGAATTAGTTCAGTTAATGTACTTAGGTGGTTATCAATTGAGTAAAGTTCTTTCCAAGGAATTATGAAGATATATGATTGGACCACAACACTCAGGTAAAAAGTTGGGTGTCTCAGCACAGTCCAATGACATCAGAACTGAATTTGCATACACAGGTTGAACGTGCTGGTCACTAGTCTGTTAAAAATGTTGGTATTTGTGTTCAATGTGAGACAATTTCAAAACACTATGTTGAAGATTTATAGAAGATGACATCATTTTCACTTTCGGCATCTATGTGCTAAACAAAGGCAAGGAACCTCCCTAGTAACCCCGACACACACGCACACACATACTCACACATATAAACACACACATGAGCATAGACACTTAAGCACACATACACATATGCGCAAACACACACCTATACACAAGCACACATACATGTACACACACGTATACAGAAACAAATATGTGCACACAAGCACACACACATATAAACACATGACAAAAGACAGAGATATTAAGTCAGTTAAATTCATCAATCATAAAATGCTCATCACCAAAAGTTATGATTAGCATATATCCTAAGGAATTGTTTGATATCTGAACAAACAGAATAGATATAGTTCCTCTCCAACCAGTAAATTTTGTATATTAGCTTTGAAAATATCCTATTCATACACAATATCAGAAAATTACTATATACAATATGTTTATCATGCAATTATTCTTGTTTCATTAAGAATCAAAACATTTTATCAATCAAAGAAGGATGTTTGTAAAAGCTACAACAATGTACATAATATAAAATATATATTATTTTATTAAACACTAGTTAATAATATTAAATCAGACCTTATAAGAGAAAAATAAAATAGCAAGGGAAAAAAATAACAGCCATTTCTATAAGAAGAAAGTTTGTAAACGAAGTGACAATTTTTGAATGATTCATAGAATATGCTTGCACTTCTGAGTTTAAATTTTTCCTGAGGAAAATATGTAGAATATCTGTTGGACTATATATGTAGAATGTATGAGTATAGTTTGTGTAGATGACTGCGAAGTTCAAATCTTTGCTATTGCCATGCTTGTCTTCTGTTTGTTTTAACACAACTCTACTAAATATTCCTATAAACACTTTGATTTTTATTCTCCTAGTTCTTCCATAAATGTTTCATAAGTGATTATTCTACAACTGTATTATGTCATGAAGCAAATTCTCTTCATAGGAAATGGAAGACTTTGTTCAGACCTCTGGAGAGCATGGTGTCGTGGTATTTACTCTGGGGTCAATGGTCAGCAACATGTCAGAAGACAAAGCCAATGCAATCGCATGGGCCCTTGCTCAGATTCCACAAAAGGTGAGGGAAAGAATTCCATGGGAGGTGACTCTCTACTGAGTCTATGAACGTCCTTGAAAGGTCTGATTATAGAAATGATTGTGTGAAAGGTAAAGTTTTAAGGAAGCTCTAATTTCCCTTAGCCAAACAGATATCCACAACAGATGTTTCAATACTGCAGAAGGTGTTTTTGATTGAAAGTGACTTGAATATAAACACAGTGATCACTGTGGGAACATTCTGAAATGCTAGCATGATGATGACATTGCTATCAAGAGTATGTAGACATAGCCAAATTCTTCAGAGTCCATTTTTCTATTTGTTGATTACTAAAATCACTGTATAAATTAGATTTTCAGGGGTGAGTTAATTTGTATTTAGTATTTCTACCACAATAACAGTAAGCAGGTGTTGAAAAGTTTGAGATGCAACATGACTCTGCATCCTAATTTTGGAATAGGCCTGTTCAGTGTGCAGTTGAGAGGATCATTTAAAGGTGATGGCCTAGACTCACCAACTGTCAATCAAAATACATTTTTGGCTAATTGAGAGAATATGCGATAAAAGGAAAAAAAACTATTTTTTTTTGGTTGACCTGCCAGTATTTGTAGGAGAAATATTCAAAGAAATAGTAGAGACATGTGCTTCCCTCACAGTGATGTCTGCATCATAAAAGTTTATGATGTCTGCATCATAAACTCACCACTCTGCTCCTAACCAGTCAGAGTGAAAATCCTAACACACAAGGAAGAAATAGGGAGCTTGTGTCTATGACACTACACAATATACAAATGCCTCTCGTAATTAAAAATCAAATAATTATAATTCTTCCATTACCACTCAGGGTTCGTTAGCCAGGAGGGTCCCACAGGTAGGTCCTGAAGGATGAAGGGAAAACCAGGAAGCCAGGCCAACTTTGCAATATGAAATAAGCACCTTAGCAATTTGTCCAAGGTTTGAACCTAACAAATCTAAGCCCACTCAAGGGAAAGACTCCCTCACAGGCTCTAAATCATTTGCTTCATAGTAGTAACACATAATATGGAATTTTGTCATGTCTTGGTTTAATACAATCCATTAATATCACAACTGAGATCCTTTCCTTTATGGTTGAATGAAATAACAGAAAAGCCAAATTGTACCTTATTATGGGGATGAATGTGCATAGTAAAAACTATATTATAAAAATGCGAATCTATTAAAAGCCAACAATAGCTGCCTTCAGGTAAACCAGGCTGTAAACTTCCCATTGGTCACATGGTGGCATTAACATTTCATAAGTCAATCAACCATCTCCGTTTACCAGATTATTTTTTAATTACAAAACCAGGAGAATTGCAGGGAGAATGGGGGTCTCCATGTGCCCATTTTTCACTGTCCTCTGATGACCTTGTGAAGAGTCCATATCTTTTTCTTTGAAACAGACCATCAAGATGTCCAGACAGGTTCACTAGGTTTTTATATAATTTTTGACTCCTATGAATAACTGAGTCGTACTTATGTCCCTATCTACTTGGGAATATAGGTCACATAATCTCCTGCATCTCTTTTCCTAGTCCTTTTCATTTTTCACAACCCAGACTTTCATTAGAATTTCGATTGTGGAGAACGGGTATCATTAGATGTGGGAATATAGATCTCTGCATGAGTCTCTTGTAGAAAGTCTCTTTACCAAAATTAGTCAGAATATGAGTAACACAAAGCTGGAGGATTTCCTATATGTCTTCTGGGTCTTTACATTGTAATTTTGTGGCATTCTGTTTAATCATTTAGAACTCATAGTTCCCAACTCTATTAGGGTTGAATTACCCCCCATAACAAGCCATCTAGGTGCCCTTTATTCCATGGTTATAATAGAAGCATCAGTCCCTTATAACTAATGAATACTGTAAACATTTTCCCTTTACTTTTAAGTCCAATAATGGTTTCTCATTTTTCTTTAGTAAGTTGATTAAATCTCCATAGTCTTACTTGTACTGTGTCCTTGCTCACAAAACATGTTTCTTTGTGAAAGACAATTTAAACAATAGTAATAACTGCAATTTTCCTTCTGGTTAAACAATCAATTACTAGGCACTGTATTTGTGATTGCACTGTCCCCTGTTAAATATTCATCAGTGGTTTCTGTATGAACTATGATTGCATTTATGGATAAACTACTGAAACCCAATAAAAGTCCAACTCTTTGAGGCAGTATAAGTCCCCAATATTCTGTGTGTAACCTTAAGGGACATTGAAGAGTATAATGGCAATACTTAAGGGCGAGGACTCCCAATAGCAGCACTTCCATGTATGACATCTTGAAACAAAAACTTGTTTGATTATAATCTGAAGTCTGACATCAATGTTGTTATTGTTGCCTTAAAACCTTCTAATTTTGTGGGGCCTTTAGGAGACCCCTAAACATATTTCCCTACTGTTAGCTGGTATTGTTTTTGTTTCCAAGCAATGTATATTCCTACCCTTATCAAATTTGGTTCAACATTTCTTAACCCAATGTTTTCCTTCCTTGCATATAGGGTAAAACCAGGAACTCATTGATTCTGAACTTACAATTGTAGGGACAATTTACATTGCTTCTTCAAGTAATGGTCACTTTCCTAACATCTATTTTTGTAATGCATAGACTTCTATACCAGCTAATTTTGCTCTTTGTTTGTAGGTCCCTACATTCTGAAGTTAATTACCTTTGAAAGTCTAGAACATTTTCTATCTCTCTTTGAGGCATGATTAATCCTTGGCAATCTTTATCAACATTTTCAAAAGCTAAGTATTTTAATAATAACACTCGAATTTGTTCCTCTTTTGCTTGATTTTCAATAGCATCTTTAAGTTTCTCTATGAAGTCAGCCATAAGGCACAGAGGGACTTTGTATTTTTACTACTGTCCTAGATCTGAAGTCAGATTGCAGGCAATACAGGAAACATTTTTAAAGGAGACTCCAAAAATTGAGCTGAGGGTGCCATCACCCGTATATTTGACAGTTGTGCTGTATTTACTTTGATTTTAGCTACACTAGGAAATATTCCTAGATTTTCCTTCTTTCCTAAATTTAAGATGTTATCATCCAGTTTATATTCATGCAAGGAATTAGTTATTTCGTCCACATTTTTAATAACCTCCTTATCTTCACTTAGTATTTTATAGCAGTTCAAATTAATGCCTAAGTCACCCCAAATTGAATGGGAATCTCTTCCCGTTATTTATATACCTTTCCAATATTCATTCATACTCTGTCAGATACTTCTTCATCTAAAGCACTTTCTCCTGGAAACTTGGGGTTATAATCACAAGCAATAGTTAACTCTAATCAGAGAATCAGACAATGTACAGTCTGAGGGTTTAGAAAGGCATATGAGCAAAAATCACGAATTGAAGTTGTATATGATCAGTACGACAAGCCATGTGTAACAAAAAATAAGTTTTTCCATAAAGTCTTACTTGGGTTATCGTTGCTCTGAAGAGACATCATGTCCATGGCACCTGTAATCATAAATACACTTAAATGTGGTAGCTCATTTAACAATTATCATAATGAAGGGAAGTATGGTACCATGCAGGGACCTGAGCATGCTACATCTTGCAGGGAAAAGGAAGTCCCAGGTTTGAATTTAACAAACTTAAGTCTGAGGAAAATCCTCCCTCACAGGCTCTAAAATCTCTGTTTCATAGAATAGACACATAGTAGAGAACTATGTCATGCCTTGTAATTATAAAGTACAGGTATCAGAGTTAAGCTTCTTTGTGAGGGAATGAAGTAAGAGAAAAAGCAAAATGTACCTTATTATCAGAATAAATATGTGTAGTATATAAGGAATCTTTTAAATACAAAACTATTATAAATTGATCTTAAATAACTGTCTCTAGGTAAACCTGACTATAGAGCTCCCATTGACCACATGATGGCATTAACATTTCACAAGTCATTCAATCAGCTCCATTTGCCAGATTATTTTTAATTATAAAACCAGGAGAATTTCAGGGAGAAAAAGAAGTCTCTATGTGTTTATTCTCCATTGTTCTCTGACAACCTTGTGAAGAGCCTATTTCTTTTCTTTAGAAACAAACCAGACAGGATCACTAGATTTTATATAATTTTGACTCTTATGAAAAACCCAAGTCATGTTTATATTCTTGTCCACATGGGAATAAAGGTTCCATAATCCCTTGTAACTCTTCCTAGACATTTCATTTTCAATAACTCAATATTTTCATTAGCATTTCCGATTCTGAGGTCGACTGAAAGTCACACTGAGATAAGCTTGAGGCAAAGAGACCTCAGAGCTCACCCCACAGTGACATACTTCGTCCAGCAAGGCCACACCTCCTGATATTCCCACTTGCTTAGAGGGCCATTTTCTATCAAACCACAACAGAAACACACAGGACAGTTTAAACATGATCTGGAGACAATAGCAAGCAGTAGTGGTTAACCTGAAATAGACCCACTCTATCTGTTATACCTGGAAGTTTGGTGAAACACACTTACCAAAAAAGAATCTTGCATTTTGAAGAAATTGAGGTCACAAGACTCTCATTTTCTTAGAGTGTTCTCTCAAGCACTCAGAATTCTACTCATGTGACTCCATTTGTGGATAATGTTTTAAAACTACACTATGCAAAATTACTCCTTGGATGGGCTAGATGATTCCATACTCCTATTAGTCAACATGATGGCATTGGTTCAAAAAACTTCAGACCAGAGAGAATTGTGGATCAGAAATATTTGTCATAAATAAGAAATCAAAGACTAACAACTTGAAATTCAATGAAAATAACATAGAAAATGTGAATAAAAGTAAACCCCCCCAAAGCATTTAAAATATAGTGGTGTTAAAAGTAGACTATTAGAACTGTCAAACACTCTTCTCTGAGATTGAATTATATCACCTTGGAAGTGTATTAAATATTTTCATGTATCATTAGCTATCTCATTTGTCTAAACATCTCTGCTTAGAAAAATGATGATTATGTTTAACCTTCTGGAATGTGAAGTTAAACACAGACTCTGCTGGTGCAATCTTCTCAGTCTCTCAAGATCTCTCGATATTTTCCCCTTCTGATGTCTTCATCCCTCCTAGGGGAGGTATTTACCTACGGTATATTTAAACATAAGAAGATCTATATTTACAATTTCTGTTTTTGAAATTATAATAGAATTACATCATTTCTCCTTTTTAGTTATTCCTCCAAATCCTCTCATATCCATTCTCCTTGCTCTCTTTCAAATTCATACCATTATTTTTATGAATGCTGTTACATACATATATACATATTATATGTATTCCTAAATATAATATGGCTCCAGCAATAAAGATGATCTAATCTTTAACAGGTTATTTGGAGATTTGAGGGCAAAACACCAGATACCTTAGGAGCCAATACCAGAGTTTACAAATGGCTGCCCCAGAATGACCTTCTAGGTAAGACTCTCAGTAAACCTATCTTAGCTGACTTCAAAATCCTTTATAGAACACTTAGTGAATGTATTGTTTATTTAAGATAACAAGTTCTGGTATGCAGTTGGTTGTTATTAATAACCATTATCTCTTAGCTACCATGTACCACATGTATTAAACTTGGAATCAGGATTTCATAGTTCAGCTTTCAAGTCCAAAGCAATTCTGCAAAATATCTCTCTGCAAATTTAGTTTCTTCTCACTTTAAGAGAAGAAAACATTTCACCAAGGTTATGAGTATTAGAATCTTCACATAGGTTTTCTTGGGATGAGGATTAAGAGAAAACAAAAATTGTGTGGTAAGCTAAATTAATAAATTGTATTAAGTAAAATTAATCTTCATGTAGAAAATCTCCTTTCAGTTCCTCATAGTGCACATTTCTCATTTCATGTCTAAGAATGTTAATTAATATCATCCTGAACTCATCTTATTCTAGGTCATCCAAAAACCAAAGCCTTTGTAACTCATGGTGGTGCCAATGGAATCTATGAGGCGATTCATTTTGGAATCCCTATGATTGGCATTCCTTTGTTTGGAGAGCAGCATGATAACATTGCCTACATAGTAGCCAAAGGAGCAGCTATTTCATTAGATTTCAGAACAATGACAAGGGCAGATTTGCTTAGTGCACTGGAGGCCGTCATAGATAATCCTTTGTAAGTATACCTTTTGAAATGTATATATGTTATTTGTTTACCATTAATTATGATTCTTTTTGAAGGCCAAAGGAGCAAGAATTATCCTGAAGGCAAAAATAATGGAAGGTACAGAGACAAATTAGGGCATGATTCAGTGTCATGTTTCTTTCCTCTTTTTGATATTACTTTTTAGTTCCATGTTGTTCTTTATCATTCTTTTTTATGTAAATCATACTTTTCCTAAAAGTATAATACTTCTACTTAATCCTCCAAACACCTTGTCCAACAGGCATATTTCACCAGCATTGGAAAATTTTTATTTTCAATACTTTTAGTAAAGTAATTGATCAGAGTTTTAAGGATAGTATAAAATTTAAATATCCAAGAAGTGAAGTGAAATTAAAAGTTGGAGTGGAGAGACACTTGTTTGTTCCTTGCTACCCAGAACCAAAATAATCACGCAGAAACTATATTAATTAAATTACTGCTTGGTCCATTATCTCTAGCTTTTTATTGGTTTATTCTTACATCTTAATTTAATCTATTTCTATTAATCTGCATATCACCACATGGCAATGGCTTACAGGCAAAGTTTCAGCCTATATGTCTCCAGAGTCAGCTCCATTGCATTTCTTTGACTCTGCCTTCTTCCTCCCATGCTATAGGCAAAGGCAATTCTTTCTTCATTAACAAATTAATGCAACACACAGACAGAAGGACCCCCACACACAACATTTTCCCTTTTCTGTTAAAACAAAAAGGAAGGCTTTACATTTAATAAAACTTCTCAAGCAAGAATAATGGTCCTACTGTTTATGTGTTGCTTTCATTGGTTAATCAATAAAGAAACTGCTTGGCCTGATAGGGCAGAACTTAGGTAGGCAGAGAAGACAGACTGAATGTTGGGAAGAAGGACAAAGTGACAGATGTCGTGGATCTCCTGCCTGAGATGGATGCTGGTTAGAATCTTGCCAGTAAGCCAAAGTCACGTGACAATAAACAGATTAATAGAAATGGGTTAAATGAAGATGTAAGAATTAGCCAATAGGAAATTAGAGCTAGTGGGCCAAGCAGTAATTTGATGACTATAGTTTTCTTTTGATTATTTCAGGTGTAAGCTAGCCGGGCAGCCGTAACAGAAAAAAGTGACCCTGTTTCCCACCATTTCCCCTTTTCTGTTTAAACAAAAAGGAAGGCTTTAACATAGCAAAATTGCATCAATAAAACAGTTCTCAAGCAAGAATTACAGTTACAATTTTTATATCTACTTTATCTTTTATCATAACTAAGGAAAACTATAAGTATAAATTCTTCAACTCCATCAAAGACTCCAGAAGGATATGACATTGTCTAAGTAAACAGGAGGTACAATGCAAACAATTTCTAAAACTGTAGAATTGAAGGGACATTTTGTTGCCTAGATGGTCACCCAAGGTTTTTCTGTATTGTTGGCACATCTTCAGCCTACAGGCGCATAGTACCCAGCAGAGTTTTTCATGAAGTAGGAAATCTTAAAGATACTGCTGCCTATATTGGAAGTTTGCCAGTAACATTCTATTGCATCCTGCAGAACATCTGGCAGACTCTTTCATGTAGCAGGAACCCTGAAGAACCATCTCACATTTAGGCAATTTCAGCAGTCATTTCTTTGAAGGTCTAGCATGTCCATTTATGTGGCCAAACAAGAGCAGTTTCTTACCCAAATGACTAAGAAACTTCATAAGGAACCTCTTTGATGACCATCTCCTTTTTGAAGTAGCTTGTTCTTCCAGGTGCAGCTGTGTCTCATTGTCATAAAAAGTCCTAATTTCTTAAAACACTTAAATGCCATATTCTGAGGATCTATGAAAGATTTGAAGAATATCTAACTAAAATATCTCTCTATATAACTTGAAAACCTAACATGACTACAAACTTATTATTTAGATGGTTATTTATTAACCTATACTTCTTACTTATACATTACATTTTTAAATGAACAACACAATCACAATACCTTAATCAAAACAGAAATATACAAATAAAAAGATTGACCTTAGATTTGCATCAATAAACAAAGATCGATACAAATGCAAATCTCTATAGCATATCTTGCTTTAAATATAAAGACACATTTATAAATAATATTTAGGAATTTGCATGTAGTTTTTTCCAAACTGCTTACTACTCTTTATTGGACAAAGTAATTTTTTGAGGGGTGTTCAAGGCAACCTTTCCAGGAATCTTGGTTCAGAAACCACACCGGTCTGGAAGCAATATATAGGTTTCCAACCTCTGTGGTAACAAGAGAAGAACCTCTTTTCCAAGGCAACACATCCTAAAATGCAAATTTGGAAGAAATGATACCTTTATAATATACATACTGGTTTAGCTTAGCAGCTCATACAATAAAATGTCCCTCTTTACTTAGCTCCTTTACAGTCAAAAAACTCAAAGAAAACTCAGTAATATACATAATCCAGACTCCCTGTGAGTTTTCCATTATCTTTATGTGGCTAATTTTTTTTTACTCCTTTTATTCTATGTCTGTCTATACTCTGTCTCTTTAAACACTTTATTATATGATTTCCTTATTTAACAACTCTCTGTAATCTTTTCTTTCTCTCTCCCAAATCTATGTATATTTATTCAACACTGTGATCCATTTAGATGTCTTTTAGTTCTGAATCTGTCCTGTTGTGTATCTATAATTCTTTAATGTCCAGGAATGCTATTAAATTGCTAATTGATTCTTAAAACTTAAACTGTGCCATTACTATGATATATATGGTACTGCCTGATTTTCTGTACAGTCTAAAACTCAAGCTGTTCAATTACTATGATATGTATGAAACATCCTGCTTGCTCAGCACAGTCCAGAATGGCAGAGCTGTTTGCTGCCTCTGAGAGTCATGCCCACAGCCCCATTCTCAGGCACACAGTCAGTCTATGCTGTCATTAAGCTAGTTGAAGCAGTCTGTTCACAAATCCAAATCCAAATGTTGTATCTCCTGAAACAGCCAAAAAGCTGGCATTTCAAAATGGTTGCAACTGAATTAGAAAACAAAAATCTCTTAAGGGAGCTGCAGCACACTGCCAGCAAACAGCAAGAAGCTGTGTTAAACTCTTTATTTTTGTGTATAGAATTCCTTTTCAAGCTTTCTCACATTTTACATTGATTTCAGTCCACCACATTGACACCTCTTGTTGGACAGGGTAGCCATTTGTTGGTTCCCAGCTGTCTAAACTGGAAATAATCACACCAAAATGTATAATTTAAATCACTTCTTGGCCCATTAACTCTAGCTACTTTTTGCCTAACACTTATTAATTTAACCCATTTCTCTCGACCTATATATTACCATGTGGTCATGGCCTACCAACAAAATTTCAGCATGTCTATTTCTAGCAGCTTCATGGCATCTCTCTGACTCCACCTTTCTTCTCCCATCATACAGCCTAAGTTTCCCCACCTAGTTATTTTTTCCCTGCCATAGGATCAAAAGGTTTATAAATTAACCAATAATAGCAGCACACAGACAGAAGGAACTCCCAAACAATTTCCCCTTTTCCGGATATAGATATGCTGGAACAATGCTGGCAAGCCACTGCCACGTGGTGATGTACAGATTAATAGAAATGTGTTAAATTAATTATATAAGTGTTTCCAATAAGAACCTAGAGCTAATGGGCCAGGCAGTGATTTAATTAATGCAGTTTCCATGTGATTATTTCAGGTCTAAGCTAACTGGGTGACCAGGTACCAACAAGCAGCCTTCCTTGCAAAAATAAAATATTAGAGGTAGTACCAGCCATAGGAAAATATTACAGCAGAGAAATTGAATGTTATAAAAGAGATAGGTAAATTTTATGAAAGTTATAACTTTCTACATTGAAATAGCACATATATTAACATAAAAGTAAGTGTATGGTTAGATATTTAAATATGCAACCTGTCTTTGAATAAATTTAAATAATGAAAACTTATTACTATGAAGCAAATTAACATGTTGATACTTACTTTCCTTGATTAAAAAAATTCATTTGGAAACTTTTCGAAAAAGAGTTTTTTTAAAAAAAAATGTTTCTTTCCAACTTTCAGCATTACTTCTGTGACTATAAAGAATTTGTGTGGTGTTAGGACCAGAGTGAAAGCTACCCCGTTTCATGTTAGCATAACTACTGGTGTCATTCTTATTCAGATCTTTTGGAAGAAGCTGCTTGTTTGTTCCCAGTCACTCAGACTCGAACTAACCAATCAGAAACTATATTAATTACAAAACTGCTTTCTCTATTAGCTTATGCATATTTTCTGCTAGTTCTTGTATCTTAAATTAGCCAA